GTCAGAAAATCACCCACACCAATTTGGCGTCGTCTGTGGGAAAGAAAGAAGAATAAATGGCCAATGACGGACAAAAGGATCAGATTATAGGACAACGCCCTGCTGGGAGTCGGAGACCTATCGATCTCGACGTTGAAGGGGACAATAGCGACACAGAAACACGTGACCAGAGTCACCGAGTGAAAGAAGCCGGCCAGGAAGGTGACGCACCAAAGACAACAGATTGAAGCAACGAAGACGACCTCCAGGTATGGAAGGATAGATACCTGCAGAGGAACGAAGAACCTTCCAGAAGGATGCAAAGACAGGGGGCATGACGCTCCCAAGGAGATAACATTCAAGTATAGAAGAACTCATCCTAAGTGAGCAGATCCCGAATTCCAGATCCCGATCCTAGAAGACATAATCTTGGCCTAGATGAGTAGGTCCGAGAGAGAAAGAACTCAACCTAAGTGAGCAAATCCAAGATTCCAGAAGATAAGATCTCGGCACCTGAGTCCGAGAAGAGAAGAGCACAATGAGCAGATCTCAGATCCCATAAGATAAAAAGAAAACACACAAGATCAGACTAAAGTTGCCAGATTACTTGTTGAAATTTGTAGCAATTTACAAGTTGAAGTTAAGCTGAGATTATTCCTTATCTTCACTTGTTGAAATTTGTAGCAATTTACAAGTTGAAGTTAAGCTGAGATTATTCCTTATCTTCACTTGTTGAAATTTGTAGCAATTTACAAGTTGAAGTTAAGCTGAGATTATTCCTTATCTTCACTTGTTGAAATTTGTAGCAATTTACAAGTTGAAGTTAAGCCGAGATGGTTTCTTATCTTCACTTGTTGAAATTTGTAGCAATTTACAAGTTGAAGTTAAGCCGAGATGGTTTCTTATCTTCACTTGTTGAAATTTGTAGCAATTTACAAGTTGAAGTTAAGCCGAGATGGTTTCTTATCTTCACTTGTTGAAATTTGTAGCAATTTACAAGTTGAAGTTAAGCCGAGATGGTTTCTTATCTTCACTTGTTGAAATTTGTAGCAATTTACAAGTTGAAGTTAAGCCGAGATGGTTTCTTATCTTCACTTGTTGAAATTTGTAGCAATTTACAAGTTGAAGTTAAGCCGAGATGGTTTCTTATCTTCACTTGTTGAAATTTGTAGCAATTTACAAGTTGAAGTTAAGCCGAGATGGTTTCTTATCTTCACTTGTTGAAATTTGTAGCAATTTACAAGTTGAAGTTAAGCCGAGATGGTTTCTTATCTTCACTTGTTGAAATTTGTAGCAATTTACAAGTTGAAGTTAAGCCGAGATGGTTTCTTATCTTCACTTGTTGAAATTTGTAGCAATTTACAAGTTGAAGTTAAGCCGAGATGGTTTCTTATCTTCACTTGTTGAAATTTGTAGCAATTTACAAGTTGAAGTTAAGCCGAGATGGTTTCTTATCTTCACTTGTTGAAATTTGTAGCAATTTACAAGTTGAAGTTAAGCCGAGATGGTTTCTTATCTTCACTTGTTGAAATTTGTAGCAATTTACAAGTTGAAGTTAAGCCGAGATGGTTTCTTATCTTCACTTGTTGAAATTTGTAGCAATTTACAAGTTGAAGTTAAGCCGAGATGGTTTCTTATCTTCACTTGTTGAAATTTGTAGCAATTTACAAGTTGAAGTTAAGCCGAGATGGTTTCTTCTCTTCACTTGTTGAAATTTGTAGCAATTTACAAGTTGAAGTTAAGCCGAGATTACTGTTTCTCTTCACTTGTTGAAATTTGTAGCAATTTACAAGTTGAAGTTAAGCCGAGATTACTGTTTCTCTTCACTTGTTGAAATTTGTAGCAATTTACAAGTTGAAGTTATTAAACCAAAGAAGATGCTTAACACTTGTTGAAATTTGTAGCAATTTACAAGATAACGTTAAGCCGACATATGATCATCTATTGAAATTTACAGCAATTTACAAGTTGAGGAAAAAGCTAAGTATGTTGTTTAAACACTTGTTGAAATTCGTAGCAATTTACAAATAAATTACTGTTTAACACTTGTTATGTTAATCCTTGTTGATCCCTATTACGGTATATGTTAATCCTTGTTGAAATTTGTAGCAATTTACAAGTAGGCTAGACCGAGATCACCGTTTAAACACTTGTTGAAACTTGAGAAAAGTTTGCAAAGTTAACATTGAGTAGTATATGTTTCACACTTGTTAAATTTATGAAAAGTTTGCAGGTCAGTATCTTGCCGAAGTAAAAGTTTTGTAGCTATTATACCCGAGGTATGTAACCCCGAGAAGATTGTACAAAGGAGGCAAAGTATGAAAGGCATGCAAAATATTCTAAGTATAGAATCATATAAGAGCAGTTAGAAGAAGATCAAGACAGAATTCATTGTGATTGACACGCCCTCGCCATACAATATCATCTTGGGAAGGCCATGGTTGCATGCAATGGGGGCAGTTCCCTCAACATTGCATCAACTACTGTGGTTCCCAACATAACATGGGATTGAAGAAGTCAGAGGAGACCAACTGCAGGCAAAGAATTGCTCCATGGCAGCAATGAAAAACTACCTGCAACATTCGGGAACCAGGGAAGGCAGAGATTGAAGACGAGAACATAGAGGTCCTAGATGATGTCGGCAAGGAGCCAGCCGAAAAGAGTGAAGAGACACTGAAGAAAATCCTCGTCCAGGAGGGCGACGAAGAACGCTTCTTTCTTCTCGGCTCAGGCTTAGCCGAAGAAGAAGAAAGAGAATTGAAAGCAAAACTACTCGGCATCAATGGCAGGATATAGAAGATAGTTGGGAAGACTTCTCAGCAGCCTTCTTGGCCTCGAGCTCAGCCTCGATCTCCTGAAGAGTTTGATCAAGGCTCTTCTCGGCGATTGGCACCTCGGAGTTTGAAGGCAAAGCTTGAAAGCAAGAATCTGGAAAAAGACACAGAAAACAAAAACAAGAATGTAATTCGTAATCAAGAATAATGATGAAGGTATCAAGAAATCAAGACAAAAAGATTGCACAAATGTGTCAAGCTAAGAACAGTGGTAGAAATCAACAAATGTGTGAACAGTGTGTATTCAAGAAGATGATTTGGAAACAACGGGTAAAACAACAATGGTGATTAACAATGAAGCAGAGCTTCTTGGAAAGCAATAAGAAATAAAACCAAGAGGAATAGTGACTTACCAAAAAGAGAAAAAACAGAAGTCAAGAAGATGACAAAGTTCAAAGAATAAAGCCAAGTACACAGGCACTAAGTAAGTATGTGAAGAACAAGGAAGTAATGACCCAGACATGATGCTAGCAACAGAAAGCGGATATGACAAGAATAGGTGCCAGGCATTCAAACAATTCAAGACTTGAAGACAGATGAAAATAGAGGGCAACAGATGGCAAATAAATAGATTTAAAGTAAATCAAAAGAGTTATGAAAGATTGAGCTTAATAGCAAGTAAAGAGTTTATGAACCTATAAAGTGAAATGAACGCCGATATGAAATCATCGGAGTCAAATAGATGACTGGAAATCGGGAACTCACCAGAGAGTGTGAGTGGAACAGTTGCAAAAGCTCTTGGAGCTTACGAATTAATGGAACCAGAACCTCGGCTAGGAGGTGCGATTTCAAGCAGCTTGGAAGGCATGAATCTTGATACATGACAGAAGTGGACAGTAAAGTCCAGGGAACTTTGAGGTCGGCAAGTTTGATCTCAGACAGAAAGGCACAAATGAACGAACAATGTAGGTTCCATCACCTCAGAATAGGATGCCGAGGTAATAGAACCTAGGGGGCAGTTGTGGGGATATATTTTCTGAGTACCAACACGTGGCAAGGTGACGCCGACATGTCAGCCGAGGTACCACGTGTCTTGGTCGTGACGCCGAGGTGATCT